AGGAGCTCGCACACTGCAGCAGCCCCACACCGGGCCGTGCCCACACCCCTGCCCCGCGCAGCGGCCAGCACTGACCTGCTCAGAGACCTCAGCATGTGGCACCCCCTCTCCTGTGGGCTCTCACACCCCTCTGAACTAACTCGGGGTTTCTTCTGCTCCAACTTGCTCTCTGCCGCTGCTAACCGGGTCAGCAGAGCCTCGTGCCCGGGGCTGGTCCCTTCTCGCCAGTTTTTCAGGGACAGCAGCCGAGGCGGAATCACTCCGCTGTGTTTTGCACCCTAGGAACGCTCCTCTGAAACCCGGGGGTGAAATAATCCTCGGAGGCAGCGACCCAGCCTACTACACCGGAGACTTCCACTACCTGAACGTCAGCCAGAGCGGCTAGTGGCACATTTTGGCAGATCAGCATGAAGGGGTGAGGCCAGGGAGCGCCTCTGCACAGCACCGGCCTCATCCTGCAAACCTCCCTGGGTGTGCGAGGGTGGGCCTGGGAAAAGCTTGCTGGGTGCTGGGGAAGGTGGTCCACGGAGGCATGTGTTGGCTCGGTGTCGCTGGCGGATGCTTTCGCCTCTGGAGGGGAGCGGGGTTGGTTCCTCCAGCACAGAGTTGCATCTCCGTGCTCAGCAAGGAGCCGAGCTGGGGAATGCAGAGGGGGTGGCACCGTGGGCTGATTCAACTTGGAAGCCGCAGTGGAAGAGTTTAACCGCCTTTAGTCCTGCAGAAGGAGTGTGAGGCACTGAAACAATTCTGCTTTGTTTAATTTAAAAAAATAAAAACCACACATGATGAGGCTTAGCTTTCACATTTGAGAAGCTCAAAGGGAGGGTTCCTGGTGCCCCTGCAGAGCCCCTACTCCGGTGGCACCGGGAGCAGCACATGCTCTGCCTGGCCAGTGTTCCCTGGACAAAGATGTGGCACGCTCACCCCTGGGCACACGTGGCCCTGGCAGCTGAGCTGTGGTCACCATGGGAGACTCAGGGTCACCCCCCTCCCGCTCCAGTGTGTACGTAGGGGCTGAAATCCTGTTCTGCAAGGAAGGCTGTTTGGTGGCTGTCGACACGGGAGCATCCTACATCACCGGCCCAGCCGGCCCCATCTCCGTGCTGATGAAAGCCATCGGTGCAGCAGAAATGGCCGAAGGAGAGGTGAGCCAACCCCCCCCCTCTGCCCCGTTCCGTGTCCACACCGCCTGCCCCCTCACTGCCTGTACCCCAGCCCACCCCTCCTCCAGCAAACGGACTCAGAGCTGTCTCCTCCTCCCGCAGTACGTGGTGGACTGTGACCGAGTCCCTCAACTGCCCAACATCTCCTTCCACCTGGGCGGGAAGCCCTATGTGCTCAGCGGCTCAGCCTACATCCTTCGGGTAAGCTGCATCCCCCTGTGCGGGGCGGGAGGGCAGCTCTCCCCAGGCTGGGTGCATCCGCTGGGAAGAGCAGCGCAGCTCTCCTGCAGAATCCTGCACCCTCCTGGCTCTCCTTAAAGCAGTTGAGATGAGCTCCAGAATGATGCTTCTTGTTTATCCGCAAACCCTCCTGTTTGGCAGAGGTGTCCAGACAAGCCAGACCAACCTGTCGCTTCTTCCTTGGGTGGTTTTGGGGAGATTTGGGGTGAGCAGCAAAGAGCAGAGACAGACAGGGATCCTCCTTCCTGGAGGAAGAAATGTGGAGGCCAAGCAGAGGGTGTTGAGCTGGGGATCACAGCCCTTCCTTGGGCACGCTGCAGTAGAGATCTCCCTCCTGGCACCTCCATCACCACGTGGGTCTCCTCTTCTCGGCAGCAATCCCAGTTCGGGGAAGACATCTGCGTGGTGGCTTTCTCGGGGCTGGATATCCCACCCCCGGCCGGTCCCCTCTGGATCCTGGGTGCCAGCTTCATCGGGCACTACTACACCAAATTTGACCGGCGCAACAACCGCATCGGCTTTGCCACGGCCCGCTGACAGCTGGGGAACCGGGGAGAGGGACGGGGGAATCAGCCTGGAGGCAAGAGTTACCATCGAGGAGAAATGATTTGAAGTGCAAACGAGAACAGCGTTTCCTTACAGCTCAGCCACCTCCTCTCTTTACTGAAGCAACTGCAAAACCTCGCCTTCTCCCACTCCAAAACCCCCGCTCTGCTTCCCGAGAGTCTCTGCTGCTGGGGAGAACTGAGCCTTAAACGCTTCTCCTAGCGAGCGTGTTCAGTCTGGAAATCAAAACGGGATCCTGTGCCTGGAGTTGGACCTCCAGGGATTTTTAGGGTGATGTGCAATAGAGCACCTGGCACGCAGCGGATCGCTGCTGGCTGGCGCGGAGGTGCTCGCAGGTTGCAGACAGACTGAGGAGGGATGATCTGTTGCAGTTCATGTTATTCTTTAAATGGGAGAAAAATAATCTGGCTGTGTTTAATGATAGTTTTAGCTGGTGTGAACCCTACCCTTCTCCGTGACTTTAATATTAAACAATCTCAGAGCAACAGGACACTGAGTGGATGCTTATTCTTGCAGAGGGGAGAGATCAGATACTTCTACTAAGAGAACTGGGCCACAAGTTCCTCTACCAGGATTCACCACAGCAGACATTTACGTCCTTCCCTCTTTCATAAGAATGCAACACCCTCCCAGCTAGCAGTAGGCAAATCAGGGTCTTTTCAAACAGCAAAAAGCCCTTTCTGCAGGAGATGAGCGGCTGTGTGGGCTACCCACGCCTCGACCCGCCTTCCCGTGGGGGGCTCAGGACCCCTGATGGCACCCCTGGGGACAGAGGGACAGGGCTGTACCTCGGCTTTGCTGCTCTTTGGGGAGTGGAAGGTGCCTGCAGGTCTGATTAAGGGTGGCTGACTTTGTCCCATCAGGAAGGCAGCTCTGGCTGCCCCAGCGCCTGGATCTGTTTCCATTGCCGTGTTCGCTGGAGCTAACAACTAGAGGCTTGTCTCTGTCCTGGCCACGTGCAGAGATGCTCAGCAGGAGCGTGGTGGAGCTGTGAGCCCTGTGCTGGCTGGCCTGGCTGGAGGGGCAGACCAGTGCTCCCAGCTGGAGGCTGACATTTCCAGTTCCGTGGGAGAGCTGCAGTGCTTCAAGTTACAGCCCAGCAGCTGCAAACCCAAGCTCCCCTCAATGCCAAGCAGTTTGCAACACACTCTCATCTCCAGTTCGACCAGCTCAGGTCTGCGAATGCCGTAGTCCACAGCCGAGCCCTGGGAAACGTGCTTGTACAGCAGAGCACAACGCTTGGGCTTCTGGAGCAGAGCCTGGAGCGAGCCACCATCTGAGTGCAATCGTTCACAGAAGCTTCTCATCCTCATTTCTGCCACCAGCGATGACTGCTGATGAATTCCCAGTGCTGCCCAAAGCGCAGGCTGACACGAGCTGCCTCTCAGGCTGCAGGGATGTTCGGGAGAGCGATGCTC